AATCAAAACTAACTAGGACTCACCTGGGGGCAGTGAGCTGAAGTTTACACCCCCTAAACCCACTCCTTTCATTTGGTCCCCTGGTTGCTACGGATCAGGAGCTGGAGTTTCCCTCTGGCTGGATCCCAGGGACAGGAACTGGGGCTGCAGGAGAAAAGCACAATTCTCCGGCTCTCCTTTGATTTTTCCAACACAGATATTTCTCTTAGCCCGAGCACTCCTGTACAACAGCTGCTTGCCAGGCGAGCAGTTTTGTTCCTCAAAGCTTGTCTTTAGGCACTTTTCCCAACTGTTTGCATTCACATAGTAGGCTTTCGACAGGAGGGACATTGAGCTGAAAGGGAAACTGAAGGCAATTCTCACTTAGCACATCCGATCCCTAAGGCCTGGGAGTCATGGAATTGATCTACGTTCCTTTGCATTCCAACTAGCCCTGCCCAACAGAAGTATTTGTATCTGTGCTGCCCATGGTGACTATGTTACTAATGAGCACTTGAAGTGGACCTAGTGCTGAGGCAGGCAACCACTGGGGATAGCTTAGCAACCTGGGACTCTACTTGGTTTGGGCTATGCACACATTCGTCTCCTAATAATACACTTGGCAGCAGAGGGCCTTTACCTGTACACTTCTCCTAACAATGCACCTAGCAACCTGTTAGCAACCTAGGACCCCCACCTGCATGGAGCTGTATGCATATTCCACTACAAACAATGGAGTAAGTTTCTCCTCCCCTTAACGACCATCAAACAGAGACAGGTTCTATTCAAATGTATTCTCCATATATCTAGTAGGAGGGTAGGAAGTCCAATCTGGCCTGAACTACTTTGGGTGCCGGAGCAATAAGACACACTGTTTCCTGTGTGGACTTTTAGGGAAAAACTCTTACCATCTTACTTGCCTATGCATATGGACACACAAATGATTAAAATTAGATGTCTTATGGGAAAGGACATATGCAGTGAAGCTGTCCATCAAAACAGAGAACCACCCACCCGGTGCCCCTTGGCTACCAAACTCCTCTTTCTCTTGAACCCCATGAAAGGAAACCCCAAACAATAACCTTGAGTACCCTTACTCATGTGGCCTGCTGTCACTCCTGACAGCATATCTTCTGTCTAATCTGAACTATGCTTAGCTTTGAATAAAGTTTCCTTGTTACTTTGTAAATCAGTGAGACTTTATTTCAGTTCCTTGAATATAAGGCCAAGAACCTGAAAAACCCAGTCTAGACAATGATCACCAATAACACTGCTACTGAGGAAATGGACTTTTCTGTGCTTTTAAAATTAATTAAACTTATCATTATTCTGTTTTTATTTTTATTGAGACAGGGTCTCATGTATCCCAGGCTGGCCTTCTATTATGTAACCAAGGATGCCCCTAAACTTTTTAATTTATTTTTATGTGTAGGATTGTTTTGCCTGCATGTAAGTGTACCACATGCATGCAGTGCCTGTGGAGGCCAGAAGAGGCATCGGGTCCCCTGGAACTTGAGTTACAGAGGGTTGTTAGGCATCATGTGGGAGTTTGGAAGCGAACCCAGGTTCTCTGCAGGAGTAGCAAATGCACTTCCATCTCTTCAGGTGACCCAGAACTTTTCTTATATTTATTTATTTTTTAATGTGTGTGAGTTTATTGCCTGCACATAGGTAGGTGCACCCATGCCGTGAAATTTCTGCAGAGGTCAGAAGAGGGTATCAGATTCCCCTGGAACTGGAGTTAAAGACACTTGTTAGCCATCATGTGGGTGCTGAGAATCAAACCTGAGTCCTCTGCAAAAGCAGTCAGTGCTCTTAACCACTGAGCCATCTCTGCAGCCCCATGATCCAGAACTTTTGATCCTCTTGCCTCCACTTCCCAAGTGCTAGGGTTACAGGTGTGCATCATCCTGCCCAGCTATGTGGGTGTTTCTAACCCCAGAGCCTGTTACAAAACGCCACACATATATTAAACCAAAGTGTCTCAAACATGATACAGAAATAATTTATTGGTTTTAATCAGCATTTTAGAAGAGATCATATATATCACACTTAAAATAGTGTTTGGTGTAACTTGCTGCGGTTGGTATGTGGGGGTAGGGAGTTTATGTGTGTAGATACCTCACTGTGGTAAAAAGTAAAAATATGAAAATGCTGAGTACACTATCAAATCTAGAGGCTAAGTCTGACCAAACAAAGTGAATGGACAAAGCCTTACTGGTACCAAAAGAATCTTTGGAAATACTACTTAAACAGGAAAACAGGTGTGAGGCATACATAGCTGGACTGGCAAATGGAGAGCTTGGCTGGGGTACTGCATAGACTTAGAGCTCAGTGTGAAAAACTTCAAAAACTTTTCTTCTGTAGACATTAGGTGCTGTTTGTCCTTCTGATCTATTGTCAAGGGTGGTATGCATTTCCTGTTCGGTATAAGAACTCAGTGAACGTCTGCTCAAATATACGTTTGTTTCAGAAGTATTTCCTTTTATTTAAGTTCAAAAATTCCTTACTAAGTCTATGAAAACTTCAAAGACTCTAGAACAGGATAAGACATGGTATATTCACACGATAAATATTTATTACCCCATTAGTGTTTATTGTTTCAGAGCTAGTTAGCAGAGATGTCTCCTTTTAGATCTTGGTACCCCCTATAAGGAAGGAAGCTGGGGAGGGACTGGGAGTGGTGACGATGATGGTGTTGATGTATATGTTTTCAAGTTTGAAGCCAGCCTGAGCTACACAGTAAATTCCAAGACAGTCATTGTGAGACCCTGTCTTAAAAAAAAAAAAAAAGAAAGAAAAAGAAAGGAAGGAAGGAAGGAAGGAAGGAAGGAAGGAAGGAAGGAAGGAAGGAAGGGAAGAAGACTTTCCAGACCCAGGAAGCATTTCTAGAAGGCTCAGGTCTGTTTCCTGTCATAAGTTACTTGGCATAAAACCAAACCTGACCAGATACATGCAAACTTTCCTTCACTCAAGTGCCTCATCCAAATGCCAAGCTGGAGGGAGTGGGCGCCTACCCTAGCCTAACAGTAGTTCCTCTTACCAGTTCCGCTTTTGGCTCATAGCAATCAATTTTTAGATGGTGATATTAGACCAGCAGTGTAACATCATCACTACACCATGTTGACTTGTGGGAAGAGTAGGAGGAACAGAGCCTTGAGATGTGGGGCAGAAGACCCATAGTTTTCCTACTCCTAACTCCACCCCCATGCTCAGGATCAAACCCAGGGCCTTGAGCATGCTACAAGCACCCTACCACTGAGCAGTAAACCCAGCCCTTGGTTTTGTTGAGACAGGATTTCACTTGTAGCCCATGCTAGGCTCAAACTGGAGATATCCCAGCTTCTGCCACAGAAGTGGCCTAAATCAAAAGATTTATGAAGGGAACAAATCCCTTGACCTCTATCTCAGGTTCCTCAGATGTAAAGAGGATTGTAGTAATGTCCCACTTTTATCCATAAATGGCTAGATGAAGTGAAGTTAGCATTATAAAACAGTACCACCTAACAAGCCAGGAAGAGCTCTTCTCTGCAGATGAGACCCAAGTCATTGGGAAGCTACATCTGTTTTGATGGTTAAACTATGACACTGGTTCTCTATTCACTTCAAAAGCAGCTAAAGGACTTAAGTCTAAAACCAGACATAAAACAGGAAGTCCTTCGAGGGCTAGACGGGTTGTAGTATTTTCCCTCAGCTCCAACCCCCAATTTTTAGCCAGTCCCTCCCTTTTTGAGAAACAACACTATTAAGGCTCTCCTTGAGCTACCAGCAGAGAGGAACATCATACCTGGGCCACAGGTCTCTGCAAAAAAGAATCCCCGAACCCCATGGTACTCAGGACTTCAGTAGACTTCTTTTTTTAATTCTCAAACTTTAAAACTCAGAAGACTACCCCACCTGAAGGGGCCTGACAGGGAGCAAAAGCTATATTCCAGCAAGTCCCTACAGGTTACCTCCATCTGATCTTTTGGCAAGAGCTTTTGGTCCTCTTTAGAAGATTTTTTCAATACAGATGTATTGATGTCCTCGGTTTTAGTTTTGTTTTAGATGAACAATCTCCTTCTTAAGTGGCAGACAGCTGTCACATTTTCCAGATGAAGAAATGGAAATACAAGAAAAGCAAGTTACTCTGCCCAAAGTTTGCTGTTTTTCATAACCTCAGCAATGAGGAGCTTCGCCTCAGCGACACAGCAGGAGGGCTCAGACAGCTGGAAGGGGAGCCAGCTGGACTCCTCACTCAGATGAACCTGGGTAGATCAGCAAACGCTGCTGTTTCCCCACCTGTGAACTTTGGATTAGTGTAGACAAAAGCTTGGGAAACGATATCATCTCGGATGAAATGCAACCCCAGTTTGAAAGCAAGCTTGCAAAGCGAGGTGAAGGAGCCTCTCAACTGACCTCTAGAATGCACTCCTTCCCCAAAGCAAGCTCTAGTGCTCTGCAGTGGTCCTGACCAAGATGGCCAGCGACCTGTCTGTACCACAAGCCCTCAGGACAGAGGCTAATCTGGGCGACGGGCATCACAGAAATGCCAGGTTTATCATCCTCGGACACATCTACAATTCTGCAGAAAACTGCCAGCTTGACAGCCCAAAAGCTGAATCAGAGAACGACACAGACTGCAGCTGGATGGCCCCACTGGGCCAAATCCACTCAGTGGCCTAAAAGCTTTGGGGTACTGTGATGTAAAAAAAAGAGGGGAAGACACCGAGTCATGATGGGAACTTTTTCTTTGAACCGGTGTGAACAGCTCAAGTGTAAGGAATGACGCACAAGTGGGAAGGCAGCCTCATTAGCACATCCACCTAATAGAAAGCTGAATCCTGCTAACGCTGTGTCGTGCGCCCGCCGCCCCAACTGTCCGGCCAGCCGTCTCTAAAGCGTGCTCAGCGTGCAGCCCAGACTCGAGCTTGATTCTCAGTGCTAGAGGCCAGCACGACCCGTGCAGAACAGACTCTAGGCTACGAGTGCACGTGGAGTGCACTGCGTCTCCCACTGTGCCGTGGGCGAGGCGGCGTTACCTGAGCAGATCCAGGAAAGAGTCCACCGTCTCCTTGGAGACCGGAGGAGGCCCCGAGTCCTCCAGCCCCAGGATGCTGGACTGAAGGGTCTCTGCGCCCGCCCCTGGTTTGATGATGAACGCCAAAGCCACCGCGAGCGCAGAGGCGCTCAGCGTCGTCAGGCCGAAGTAGGCGACGGCGATGCCGCCCAGACGCCCGAGGGAGCTGGCGTCCAGGGAGGCGGCGCCCGACACCAGGCTGCAGACCACCAGCGGCAGGATGATCATGCGCAGCATGCGGAGCAGCATCTCGCCGGGGAAGGCCAGGTAGCTGATCTGCGTGCGGGTGAGGTGGAGTCCGCGCAGAGCCACGCCCATGCCGGCGCCCACCAGCACCCCGAACACGGTGAGCAGCACTAGCGCCTGGCGCCGCAGGAAGCGAACACAGCGCTGCGTGCGGCCCGCCGCCTCGGGCTCGCGGGGCCGGGCTGCAGGCTCCGCGGCGGCGCTGTCCAGGTAGCCATTAGTGTCGCTGCTCTTCTCCATGCCGCGGTCAGCGCTCCGGGCTGTAGAAGGGAATCGGGCTCCCACCGAAGGGCGGCTCTCAATGAAAGGATCGGGCGGACACAGCGGCCTCTGTCAGTCGTGCCCCGGGGGTCTGCGGGTCCCTGCGGGGGCAGGTCGGGAGGGTGAGGAGAGGAGGCTGTGGGCTGGAGCGGGACCGAGCGCACCGTGCCGCGCCCAGCCTTCCTTCAGCGCAGCCTCTAGCTAAAAATGATGCAACGCTGGGAACGCGCGGGAGGCCACAGTCTGGGAAGGGGGGAGAGGCCGAGCCTGCCCTGCCCCGACACCACGCCCCCCTAAACATCGGCCAATCAGAGACCAGGTCTCTGCCCATCCAGCCCCTGGGGGTCGCCCCGGAGTGCCGAGCGCGGAGCTAGAGCCAGACGGGGCTCTCGCGAGATCACGGGTGTTCCGGGCTTCAGCTGAAAGCTGTTGCTCCGCGGCCTCTTTCCCTTCCGGCTAACGGGAAGTGGCTCCCGGTGCCCGCGAGGGTGCGGCTTGAGGGTCGGCCGGGGCCTCGGGGTGAGAGCGTGTGGAACCGACCGGGGAGACGCCTCCCCGCCCCCGGAATCCGCATTGCCCCTCCGCGGGCCGCAAGAGCCTGCGGGTCCCTCCCGCCTTGCGGCCGCGCGCAGCCAGGGAGCCCGGGACGGCCCTCCTGTGGAGAGTGCTTCTTCCGGGGCGAAGCAGGGCTCGGTGCAGAGACAAAGGACTGCGTGGATGGGCTCGTGGGAAAAGCGGTATCCCTGCGCCTCCCGCGCTGTAGCAGAGCTTTGCCAGTTGGTCACTGGTGACTCGCGATGGCTGCAAACCCAGCGCCCGGGCGCGGTCCTGAGCGCCAGGGTCCCTGGCAGCTGTCTGCTGTCTGCGAGGTGCAAACTCCTGCCACCGCTTTCAGTTGCGTGTCGCCCATACAGCTTCAGCCGAAGCAAGCTGCTGGATTGTAACCTCTCCCGGGCACCAGACCTGGCACGAAAGCAGCACACACAGGGATTTGGCCAGTCTGAAAGATGGTTCCATATTGTTTATGTTCAAACAACCGATGTTTTTGTTTGTTTTGTTTTGTTTTGTTTTTGATATAGGGTCTCCCTGTAGCCCCAGCTGTCCTGGAACTCACTATGGTAGACCAGGCTGGCCTTGAACGCACAAAGATCCGCCTGCCTCTGCCTCCTGAGTGCTGGGATTAAAGGCATGCGGCACCACGCCCGTTGCAACCGATTTTTTAAAAAAGTTTATTTCCTATTGACTATCTGCTTTCCTCACAACAGAAACGGCTGTAATCAGCTCACTGTAGTTTATTCTTACATTTTCTCATGCTTCTTGAAAAGAGATGGTTCTTTCCTTGGTGCCTGAGAAAGTCTTATGTGTAACTAACCTAAGCGAGGGAGGAAGGCAGTTTCCTTAGAAAGTCTTATGTGTAACTAACCTAAGCGAGGGAGGAAGGCAGTTTCCTATTTATCTTTTGGAGAAAAGGAATCATGATAAAGCATTCCAGAACAGAAAAAGTACAAATCAAATATCCTCAGAAGTAACTTTAAGGCGTTGTCCAAATTTTGGGACAGCCATGTAGCTATCGCCTGAATCTTGTGGTAGGGTTTGTTGGTGGGGGACGGGCATGCATTAGGTGAGGAACTGAACTTTTCCAGAACGTGGCTTCTCTGTGTACAGAGATGAATAATTTCTTCAGACACATGTTGTATGTTACCAGCTCCTCCCTTGTTTCAGCTCCATTTTTATGCAAAAGACGTAAGTCATATTCCAGAAATGGCTTTCCAACTTCCTGCTTTGTATCTGCACCTGCTCCTGCAGGCAGCTGTGCATACTCAGAACCAATTTATGATTACCTCGGCTCAAGCCAGCTTATCTGTCTGGCTGCAGATTTCTGTTACCAACATGGCCTCTGTGGAATTCCAAATTGACCTCTGAGTCTTTAGTATGTTCTCTTATCAGCTACCAAATCCCAAAGATTTGGGAGAATGGTCAGGTCCATTCTCCACTCACTAACACACTGGCTAGGTTCTTGGTCTTTTTTGTTTTGTTTTGACAGAGTCTTGCTATGTAGCTGACCTCGAAGTGTACATTACAGGTGTGTGTCAACCACATTTTATTTCCTCACCCTTTAAACAAAGAATTTTTTGGTCTTTTTGAGACAAATTTCCCTCTAGCCCCAGCTAGCCTATAACTCACTATGTAGACCAGGCTGGCCTCAATCTCACAGAGATCCACCTACCCCTGCCTCCTGAGTGCTGGGATTAAGGGCGTGTCCTACCATGCCAGGCTTTTATTTTTACTTTAATGTGTGTATCTTTGTGTGCATATGTGCATGAGTGCAGATGCTGCTGAGGCCAGAGGCGTCAGATCCCCTCTGGTGCTAGAATTACAGGCTGTTGTGAGAGCCGCCTGATGTAGGTGCAGAATACTAACTTTGGGTCCTCTGCAAGTGCAGCCATTGCTCTTAACTGCTGAGCCATCTCTCCAATCCTCGTCCTCACTTTTTAATCTAGGCTTTCAAAAGTTATTTTGGGCTGAGCATAATGGTGCACACCTTTAATCCCAGCATTTGGGAGGCAGATTTGAGTCTGAGGCCAGCCTGGTCTACATAGTGAGCTCCAGACTAGTCAGGGATACATGATTAGACACTGTTTTAAAAACAAAAATAGTTATTTTTATTGTCAGGTGTGTATGTGTGCGTGTGCATAAGTACATGCCATTGTGGAGACCAGAGGACTCAGGTGTCCTGCTGATACCACTCTACCTTGTTCCTTTGAGGCAGGGTCTCTTCCTGAACCTGGGGCCTGCAATTTCTTGGCTAGACTAGAAGCCAGCAAGCCCCAGAAATCCTGTCTCTGCCCTCCTTGGAGCTGGAGTTCCAGTGTGGGACATCTGACTTCTTTGAATGGATGCAAGGATCTGAACTCTAGTTCTCATGATTGTACAAAAAGTGTTCTTAACTGCTGAGCCATCTCTCTAGCCCTAAAAGATTTATGTTTTTGTGTATATGCATATTTTGCCTGCATATATATAGCAAGCCCCAGAAATCCTGTCTCTGCCCTCCTTGGAGCTGGAGTTCCAGTGTGGGACATCTGACTTCTTTGAATGGATGCAAGGATCTGAACTCTAGTTCTCATGATTGTACAAAAAGTGTTCTTAACTGCTGAGCCATCTCTCTAGCCCTAAAAGATTTATGTTTTTGTGTATATGCATATTTTGCCTGCATATATATGTATCGTGTGTGTGTGCGTGTGTGTGTGTGTGTGTGTGTGTGTGTGTGTGTGTGTGTGTGTCTCCCCTCCTTTGTTTAATGAAAATAAACAAAAC